GCTGGTCTTTGGAACTTGATTTTAGATGATGAGCAGAGGTTAAAGTGTATACATTTGTGACTTTTCAGTGAAATAAATGAAGTGTACTTAAGGAGTTATAAAGAAAATCTCTCGGGGTGCCTGGGTGGCTCAGTGGGTTAAAGTCTCTGTCTTCGGCTCGGGTCATGATCTCGGGGTCTGGGGATCGAGCCCCGCATCGGGCTCTCTGCTCAGCCGTGAGCCTGCCTCCCCCTCTCTCTCTGCCTGCCTCTCTGCCTACTTGTGGTCTCTCTCTGTCAAATAAATAAATAAAATCTTTGGGGGAAAAAAGAAAGAAAGAAAGAAAAAATCTCTGGCCCACTACGAACAAGTATGACCTAAAAAGAATGTTGTGAAAATTTAAGAACTTCGAACCACTGTATACAATTACACTTGCTGTATTCTTTTTTTTTTTTTAAAGAGAGGTATTGAGGGTGAGGGAGGGAGGAGGTGTGTTGAAGGGAGAGAGAATCTCAAGTAGGCTCCACGCCCAGTGCATGAGCCCAGTGTGGGGCTTAATGTCGTGACCCTGAGATCATGACCTGAGCTGAAATAAGGAGTCAGATGCTTACCTGACTGAGCCATCCAAGTGTCCCCTTTCTACGTTCTTATGTTCATTTCATCTTTGTCCAGGTCTGTCACTGCCGGTAGATGGTGAGTTATCTAGAGGTGTGCACTCATTTGTTCATCGTTTTATTCCAAGCATCTAGTGTCTGTCACATAGTGAGGGTTCTTTTCCTGTTCCGTGACTGAGTATTTTTTAATGTCAATGTCATTGTTAAATCCAGGCACTGGGTTCAGGTGTCTGTGGATGAATTTGCATAGCTGCAGGGAATTTGTCTGTTTTAATCTTTAAAGACGTCTAAGATGATGCCTGACCGCCTCGCCCTACCCTGCCCCCCAATAAGGATCTGTGCATCTTAGCCAGTCATCACTCAGTTCTATCTTAAGTTAGAAAATGGTGTCATTTGTATGTTTTTTTTTTTTTAAACTTAAGATGATACATATATTTTCTTTTTACTAACATTCTTGGGATTCTCTGCTTTTATGTCCTGCCATCACAGTAGACAAAACACACCATAACATTTTTATTACTGTTTCATTGTTCATAATGGTAACATTTTTATATTAAGTACTGAATTTTATTTATTTATTTATTTATTTTTAAAGATTTTATGTAAGTTATGTCTACACCCATCGTGGGGCTCAAACTCAGAACCCTGTGATCAAGAGTTGCACACTGACTGAGCCAGCCAGGTACCCCCTATGTATAGAATTTTAGAAAAATTAAGCAGGAAGAGCCAGAAAATACTGTAAATGAAGAGCATGGGGGGGGGGGTTAGATCTGCTAGATATTAAAATAGATTATCAAGCTTCAACAGTTAAAACCGTGTGGCACTGGCACGTGAGTAGACGGGTGAGTATATCAAAATAAATGGGAGGCGCTGAAAGAGATCTAAATGTATATGGAAATTTGTAAGTTATCAGAAAGACATTTAAATCAGTGGGAAACCACAGTCCTAAAATGATATTGAAGCCACTTGGTAAACATCTGAAAGAAATTAGGTTAGATCCTTTTCTTATACCTTATTCCAAAATAAATTCTAGATGGAGCATAAATGTAAATGTAAAATTATGAAACCATAAAAGTACTAGGAAAAAAGTGGATGTTTTTATAATATTTGAGTGATAGTGACTTTTTAAAATTATATTGGAAAACTCAGACACCATTTTTAAAGATGATGAATTTGACCACTTGCCAGATTTCCACCTGGTGAAAGGAAATGGCATAGTCAAAAGACCTATAAACCAGGGAAGTAAAACATATTTTGCAAACTAAGGATGAATTTCCTTAATGTATAAAGAGTTTTTCAAATAGTAAGACCAGAAATCTAACAATAGTGGGCCAACATTATGGGAAAGGAAATACAAATTGCTTTAAACGTATGGAAAGCTTTGTGATGCAAATTAAAACCACAGTGAATTGCCATTTCTCGGATTGGCAGAGATTGAAAGTTTCAATTGTACGCTCTGTTGCTAACGAAGTAAGTGGGGTAATGAACACTTGTGTCCATATGTTGCTAATGGGAATGTAAAATGGCACAACTTCTATGGAAAATAGTTTTGTGCTGTAAAACATAAAAACCCTTACACGCATCAATTCCAATTCAAGGAATTTATCCTAAACATATTCACAAACGATAAATGTCCAAGAATATATTTTCCCAAGTGGTTATACCATTGTAAACCCACTGTATCCGTGTCGTACATAGTCCAGCTCCTTGCCAGAACTTGTTATTCAGTCTTTTTAATGTTAGCTGTTCTGGTGGGTGTGCAGTGATGTGTTATGGTTTTAATTGGCATTTCTGATAACTGATGTTGAATTTATTTTCAGATGCTTATTAGGCATTCATCTGTATTTGGTGCCTTTTTTTTAAGAAATGGGTTTCTTTTATTCTTGAGTTGTTAAGTTTTTTTAATGTGTTTTGGATACACATCTGTTTTCCAATATATGTTTTGTTAATGTTCTCTCGTAGTCTTTGGCTTGCCTATTTATTTTTTTTGACATTTTTTATTTATTTGAGAGAAAATGAGAGAGAGAGAGAGCACGAGAAGGGGAGGGCCAGAGGGAGAAGCAGACTTCCTGCTGAGCAGAGAGCCTAATGTGGGACTCGATCCCAGGACTCCAGGATCATGACCTGAGCCGAAGGGAGTCTCTTAACCAACTGAGCCACCCAGGCACCCGCCTATTTATTCTCTTAATAATTTTTTGAATACAGTATATAATTTTCATGAAATCAGCTCATCAGTTGTTTTTATTGTTTTGTTGTTGTTGTTGTTATGGTTAATGTGTTTTTGTGCACTAAGAAATCTTTGTGTACTCCAAGGTGAAGAAAATTTACTCCTTTTTTTCTTGTAGAAGTTTTATATCTTTAGCTTTTATGTTCAGCCTTTTTCCCTCAGCAGATTTCAAAATGGTCTCTGACCCAAAATGAAAATAAAGAAGATTTAGACCCATTGCTTGAGACTGCTAGTTTTTCAACTTTGTTAACAAGGTCAGCATCACATCATGCTGCTGCTTTCCATCAATAAAACAATTTCTGAATTAATGGAGAGAATGACATTGCTTTTGGTAAGATAGATATCATTGACTATCAGGCATTATTGTACCCACTTAATTATTAGCTCATCTCTAAAGAATCCTGTCAGTATTTTTCATGTTGGATGAGTATGTGGACCCCCTGGAGCTTCCCCTTACGGATGGCCTATCCTGCTCGGGGCCTCGAGGCATCAACAATGCCGTGAACAGTGTGGGAAGGTCAGGGTCAGGCACCTGAGTTCTAGTCTCCTCCCTCTTGTCACGCTTTCTCTCTTAGCCAGCAAGCATTCCCATTTCATCTAGAATATAGACCGAAACACGAATGTTGTGGCCTCACAGAATCTCTCCCAACCTCCTTTCCATTTCTGCAGTGCCCTGCTATTTCCTGTTCCTTGGGGTGATCTCATACCAGGCCCCACTGTGCGTCCTCCTTTACCCTGTTCCCTTCATCTAGATTGTTCTCATTCCTTTTCATCCTGCCCTAGACTTAACTCCAGTCATCTGTTAAATCCCCAGTAAAACTCCGCATCCCCCTTGACCTCTCTCCCAGCCTCTCCAGCAGGAGCTGATTTGCATATACTTTCTTCGTGTATGCTCTTCCCCGTTCACTTGTGAACTTCTGGATGCTTCGAGAGCTTGGGAGGGTGTATGTGAGTGAGTGAGGCTTCCTATAGTGTGACGTGCACATAGCAGGCAGGTGACAAAGTACCTTTCTGATAAAAAGGTCTGTAACAGTAGTGGGTCTGTAACGGCCGTATTCTTTGTAAAGGGCTTGTGCCCCATCATGTTTTTCAAACTCTGAGGCTGTGACCCACTAGCTGTTTGTAAAAGCAGTATTTATGGTTCAAGAGCATCATTAAAAAAGGAGGTAGAGTAAGATAGGAAATAAAAGATTACATAAGATGGGTAAACATTTTATAGTAAAAGGTTTGTTTCTAGTTCTGTATTTGCATATGTGTTTGCTGGGTTGTCATATAAGTATATTTCTTACTACAGGTTATACGAAACAGAGTTGGAAAACACTACTGGATTTTTAACCTCTGTAATGAATTTTGAATTTCAGAATTTTAGAGAAGAGATATTTGGAATTTTAATTAACTTTGATACTTCTAAAATTTTCACTGAGTGATTTCACATAATTTGTACCATCCCCTGTTGATTATCTACTACATTACTTATAGGCAAATGATTTTTTTTTCTTCAGCATCTAGTGTATAGTCTTTGTTTTAGATTTGGGGTATATAATTGGGTTATAAATGTATAAGTCATTTCTGCTAAAATGGTGTTTTGGAAGAAACTTGAGAGGATTATTATGATAGAAGTTTCCCTAAAATTTCTGTAATGTTTTTTAAACTTCTCTTTGTTTACATATAATAGTTTAGATTGTTCATGTAAGTTTCTTGACAAAACAGTACTTTTAAATACATTAACATGGAATGAGTATTATCAACTGAGTCTACAAATGAAAACATCCTGAAATTCCATTTCAGAAAAGAGTTTGCTCCAGATGTAAATTGTAATGCTGTCATATGTGAAAAGACCTTTCACTTTGATTTCAAAACTGGGTATTCTCTGCAGTCAGCTAAGCAAGAATCATATATTAAAATTTCTTGAAAAAGAAAGTAGAAACTTGAATCTTCCAGATCAATACACGCGTCACAAATAGTGATGCATTCCTTTTGGAGAAGCTTTTGAATCCAATGTGCATTCTTGAGTCAGGAAAGCAGTTTGGAGAGTCACTTAGTATTTACAAGAAAGCTGTTTCTGGTTGACTTTGTTTAAACTGGTGATTAAAACCTTTCCTGGAACTGGGGAGCCTTGTAACCAGGAAGTTACTGTGTTTGTAATGCCTGTGGGTTTTTTTTCCTTCACTTTCCTTTAGGGTCAGTATAGACCTTCTGATTTGTTGTGTCCTGAGACGTATGTTTGGGTGCCCATTGAGCAGTGCCTGTCGTTGCTTGAGAATTCCAAGTACTGCCGTTTCAACCAGGACCCAGAAGCAGGTACGTTCAGAGCAGAGCTCGCCGGAAATTGTTGGCAATGTTTTTAGGTTCCATGTGTATGGCTTTGGCTCTTCATAGGGTCCGGGGAGCTTTTTATCTATTGTAGAATGTGCATGAGTGTGTGTGTGTGTGTGTGTGTGTGTGTGTGTGTGTATGACGGGGAGCTAACACATGTGCACACATACAACACTCTCACTTTTGGAGATAAATGTGGAAACCTGTGCGTCTGCTCCTCACTACCTATCTTCTTCTGTTACTAGTTCTTATATGCTTTGAGGGCTGACCCCACTTTCCATTTATTTCTCTTTACAGCTATCACAGTGCATAGAAATTAGTCACTAGATTGTTTAGCTAGGGCAAAGAACGTAGAAATACTGACCAGTTGGATTGCATAAAGTTGTGGAAGGGTTTCCTAAGGGCCAACAGGCTGGGATGGGTTTTGTAAAAATGCTTTCTTACTCTTCGTGTGTGTGTGTGTGTGTGTGTGTGTGTGTGTGTGTGTAATACTTTGTTGACTTTCTTCATACATCTCCGGTGCTTCTCCTTTCCTGTCCCTTCTCCCACCTCCAGCACTGTAGAGCCCTAGCCATGTTTGATCTCCTTGGTATTCCGCATTTGGACGCTCTGTGCACTGGTAGTAGACACAGACACTGGAAGTATAGCCCAGGAGTCAGACTGCCTGCATTTGCTTCCTGGTTCATCAGCAGCCTGTAAATTGTATGCGCTTAGGCAATTTCATTACCTTCAATATTAAGATAATAGAACCTACCTTACTGAGCTATAATGAGGATTAAAGTAAGACAAACATGCTGAGAATAGCCCCGTATTATTGCTGAGTTGGTGGTTGCTGGGCAAATTAGCACACTGTGTCCCCTACACTGTACCATAGACTTTCGTCTGCATCTGCCTTTATTTAGTCCATTTCCTGGCTCCAAGAAAATGTGCAGTTCTGCTCACCTCCCTTTTGTCCAAACCCCCCTCAGTTGACAGCAGTCCCCTCTACACGGCCCTCCTCATCCTCCCTGTGTTCTACTACAACTTTGTTCAGCACGGGAGAGCTGTGACGTTCTCGTTGTGGGTTGCATCAAGTCCCCATGCGTGTTTTTCCTCAGGCTGAAGTGCCTGGGTGCTCCCCTGTGTGCTTCCTGGGTTCTGACTCCTCCCAACCCACCAGAGGAGATTGCCTGATGCACAATGAAGAATAAAATATTTTTTATCTAGTCATTTATGGCCTCAACTTGGGGGAAAAAATCAGAAAAGAGAAGTGAAAAAGCCCAGGGGGGAAGGGAATAAATGGGAAAATCAAATAGGAAGACAAAAGGGACAAGAAAAGAAATGCAGTAATTTCTTCTGTTCTAGGGTGTGCCTTTCCCCCCTGACAAATCAGGTTTTTTCTTATTAAAAAAAAATTGGTTCATGTCCCATTGTATTTTGGTCTCTCCTTTGAAAAGCTGTTACAAAATCAAGAGGGGGCACTTCTTACTCATGGTGATAGCTTAGAATCTGATGAAGATGTCTAACTCATAGGCCAGACCCCTAGGATCACCCCCAGGTTCCCGAGGTATTTAGGATCATAGAACAACCATGGCTTTACAGTTCTTATACCTTCAGTTGTTAATCAGAACTTTATCCTTTCTTTCTAAGTAAAATTACACCAGACTCATCAAACAGATGTATTGCTTAAAAACAGACCTATTGCATTTGTCAATTAGTATTTGAGTCAAGCTCAAAGGGAAAAGCAGTAATAATAAGTAGTTTAGAGGAAAGCGTATACTTAATTCACTGTCCCTTCAAAAAAGATTTTTTTCCTTTTTAACAAATTTTCTCAAGGGTGGCTCAGAGCCGTTCCCTTATGGTGAAAACTGCTAACCATCTTCATTGCATTATTTCACGTTCACATACAAAAATGTGTAAGTTCCTTCCAACTAAGTAATATCATGAACTGGTTTCCGACTTCCAAACTTAAGACACAGTTTCACCTTCCCCTTTTTCTTTCCTTTTTCATCTGTTTTAAAGTTTCCTTCTTTTATATAATGCCTGGAAATTAAGGCCATCACAGGCTCTCCCTGCTCTGTAAAGTTGAAAAGGTAGCTGAATACTTTCCACGCACCGAATGGATATTCAAGTAAAGATTCATTTGTGTTAATAGGTTCTAAGTTCATTTTCCAAAGTTAGCACAAATGAGCATTTCACAGAAAAATTTGAAGTCGGTTCCAATGGTGTGAGCCCGTGAGGAGTGGAGAGTATGTAGGATGCCTTCCTCCTGTAGTCTGTTAAATTACCTTTCTTAAGGCACAAGCTTTAGCTCTTAATAGTCATTGTTTAGAATTCATTTACAAAAGTCAGAGGAGGAAATTTCTCCCAGAATAGTGCTTCAAACAAAAGGAAGATCCTTTTCCATATGCTGAATCTTTGCACCTTTCCAGAGAACACCATACAGCCCTGTCAGTATTGAATATCACAGTCCAGACGCTATTTGAAATCAGACTTCTGTCCTGTGGTTTTAGGAAATTAAAATGCAGTTACATGCTGGAGTGTATTGGGCATGCTGTGAAACACAGTCATTTGAGATTTAAACGCCAATCTGTGAGAAACTGTTCTCTTTTCTCAGGCCAGTTTTACTCTTATGTGACCCAAACTCTGACTCAGACAAAATACAGAGCTTAATATGGACACCATTGCGGGTCGGTATGGTGCTCCCCCCCACGCCCCCTGTCCGGCCCCCTAAATCTTGTTTCTTCTCCCAGCTGTTCAGGAGTTAAATTGCTCTGCAGAAGGCACAGCCGATCACCGCGGGTCCCTGTAAAACAAAGCTTGGCTACAAGGTGCATTGGGGCCACTTGTAAGAAAAATTACATTTCCCTCTCTCCCGAATTGTTAGCCTCTGGAAATGCTATTCCTCCTTGCCCTCAACCTCCCCCTCCCCCACCCACCACATTTTGGAGGTTTGGGTTATATGGTTATTTTCTTAACTAGGAAGTCTGCAGAGTGGTAAAAACCTGTTGTTTACTGCTTTAATGTATTGGGAGGAAGCTGACAAACAGAAGCCACTTGAAAAACTAAAGAAATCCCTTTGTTCATGAATCGGTCTTTTGTTTTTGAATTCAGGACCTCTGCTGGCTCTAAAGAAAGGATTTTAGAAGTTTCTCACCTGATTTTTGAGTAAAAATCTGTTAGATTGCTTATCAAATTAGTAGTTGGATTTGTATAGAATTTTAAAAATTTTTCATCACACATTTTGCTTTTCTTGTTTTAAATTATCTTTTAAACATGTTTACTGTGAACAGCAGTAGTAGGTTTATCCAAGTGCATAAAACCACTGGTAAGAAGAAATTGAAATGACCCTATCATCTCTCTATACGGCAGTAATCACGTCAGTGTTTTTATGCTTTCCATCTGATTTTTTTTTTCCTCTATGCATTGGTGTACATTTTTTAAAAAACAGCAGGAATCCTCCTTCACACTTTTCTTGTTTTTACTGAATGCTGTGTGTTGCTTCCTCCTTTTAGGAAGGTAGAAAACTCCCTGACCACGGATTTGGGGTTCAGCAGACAAATGCCAGGGGTTGGGTGGTAGGCTGTGTCCAACATGGATATCTATAAGCGTCGCTGACAGAGTAAACCAGATGTTTTGGAGTTCGTTTTAGAACCGTGATAAATTATGATTTGATTTGACTCTTAATGTTATACAGGTGTTGTGTTATTTATTGTTGGTAGTAAAATCCTTTTGCTTCCAAATTTGTAACCAGGGACAACGTCACCGAGTGTATGTTACTTCCCAAGTGCCATCCCGTGGTGCCTCCTGGGTGACCTCAGTTGATCCTTAGGACAGGAGGGAATATTTTGTCACTGACCCCCTCAGATATCATTTATTGGGAAAAATACCAGTGAATACTTGTTTATAATCAGAGATTTAAAATAATCTTGACCCAAATATTGCTCTCTCTTTTTTATAAGTACTGATTTTAGTATTGATTTTAAGGAGCTAATTAGAATGGTCTTTATTTCTGTCTCTACTGATAATTGCAGTGGTAAAGTCATTTTACCACAGATTAGTCTAGATTTCTCTCCCTCTTTTCTATACATAATGTGAAATGTTTGTAAGAAATTTCTTAATCTAAGTCACAATATTAGTAAGGGTATTGAATTTAAATTTGCTGTAAAAATAATGGCACCTAATTTTGTCTTACTGCTTTATGCATTTCCCCAGGTTAGAGAATTTCTAGGACACTTGAACACTTCCCAGCCAGTTAGTGAAAACCCAGGTGTAAGGAGCTTTCTTCTGGTTTGAGCCCCAAAGTTCCAGGGCTCCAGTCTGTTATTTTATGTCGTTTCAATTGTCTCTTTACTCCATTCTTCTTTCTTGCTGACATGGTTCCCTAGCACTTTTTTGTCCTTTGGGGTCTCTGTCACATATGCTCATGGAGAAAGCAAGTCCCACTCTGACCGTGTGTGAAATAATCAGGTTGAGAAAGAGCTCTGACCTGTTTTTGCTTGCCTGGTTTCTCCGAGCCTGGTATCTCTTCCTGAACACTGGTCATGGTCTCTCGAAAGGGCCTGCCTTGGCCTCCATGTCTCCCGATCACTGGGAAATACTACGTAATGACAAAGCAGAATCACCAGATCTCCCGAGGGGCCCTAAAAGTGTGCTGCAGCGCGAACTTACAACTAAATGGACAGTGACTTTAATTATTATAGGTATAGAATTAAGCTGGCTTTGGGGTTGACCTACATACTTTGATACTGATTGTTGGATACTTAGTAAACATATATTCTTTGTTGCTAGTAAATATGGTCCTGGGATGTGTAGCCAGGTAGAGTGAGAACCAATGTCTTTGGAAATTTGGCTTTTATATTTGGTGAATCTGGAGAATGTGTTTTGATGTGGAAAGTATAAAAAGTTATAGTCTTTTGTTTTGTTTTTTAAGATTTTATTAATTTGTCAGAGAGAGAAAGAGAGCACAAGCAGGGGAAGTGACAGGCGGAGGGAGAAACAGGCTC